CTTTGGCTGCAAAGAACATAATCAATCTGATTTCAGTGTTGCTCATCTGGTGATGTCCATGTGTAGAGTTGCCTCTTGTGTTTTTTGGAAAAGAGTGTTTGTGATGACCAGCTTGTTTTCTTGACAAAACTCTATTAGCCTTTGCCCTGCTTCGTTTTGAACTCCAAGGCCAAACTTCCCTGTTGTTCCTTTTATCTCTTGACTCCCTGCTTTAGCATTCCAGTCCCCTATAATGACAAGAACATATTTCTTTTGTGTCAGTTCTAAAAGGTGTTGTAAATCTTCATAGAATTGGTCAATTTCAGCTGCTTTAGCATTGGTGGTTGGTGCATAAACTTGGATTATTGGATTAATCGTCTTAATTGAATTTGCCCATTCCCATCCATTTTAGTTCACTGACACCCAGGATGTCAATGTTTATTATTACCATCTCCTTTTTGACCACATCCAGCTTACCAAGGTTCATAGACCTTACATTCCAGGTTCCTATGCAGTATTCTTCTTTGCAGCATCAGACTTTCCTTTCACTTCCAGGCACGTCCACAGCTGAGCATCCTTTTGGCTTTGGCCCAACCACTTCATTAGCTCTGGAGCTACTTGTACCTGTCCTCCGCTCTTCCTCAGTAGCATGCTGGATGCCTTACAACCTGAGGGGCTCATCTTCCAGCGTCATATCTTTTAGCCTTTTATTTCTGTTCATGGAGTTTTCTTGGCAAAGATACTGGAGTGGCTTGCCAGTTCCTGCTCCAGGTGGATCGCGTTTAGTAAGAACTCTCCACTATGACCTGTCCGTCTTGGGTGTCCCTGCATAGCATACCCCATAGCTTCTCTGAATTACTCAAGCCCTTTTGCCATGACAAGGCAGCAATCCATGAAGATGACATTTACAAAGGCTTAAATTAATGGAGAGTATATTTATCAATAACTGTTACCTAGCACACCACTAAATAAGGAAACTATGTTTGATAATGGATGATACATAAGGAGGACAGCCTGCTTGTAACTTCTCAAAAGCATCTGGCTGGCCATTGTTGGAGAAAAGGTATTTGCCTAAAAAGACCTATTGCTAGATCCAGCAGGGAATCTGTTTTATCATAAACTTCTGTGTTGATGAATATGGTCAAAACTACTCCTTTGTTCTCTGTATGAGACATCTTCCCCATCCCTATCGCACTGCTTTCCATATACTTTTTTCTTCCTACTGGATACATCTTTGGATTTGTTGCCTACCACCAGTTAAATGTGAAATGTCAGCCCTCATATGGCTCCTATCAGAAGTACTGCTTAACTCTAGCTCCCAAAACTGTAAACGAGGGAGTCCAATGGTTCCTTCAGAAACCTGTTAAGAGTTCCATAACAACCAGATCACTAAAGGCAGATACATATGTCATATAGTTTGCCCACCCCATCATTCTCTCCTTTTAGCTACATGGAGAGAGAGACAGGTATCATGCACCTAATACTGATATTTGGCTTTAAGTTTCAACAGTACCGATTTCATGATGGTGCAGTTTTCAGGGGGATCAAAATATTGGCTTGGCTAACTAGCAAGCCCACTTCTGTTCTCCAAAAATCCACTCCTCTCCCAGGTTCTCTGCATGCACAGACAGCTGCAGAAAGAAGCAGGTAATGCTCTAATTTCCCTTGGTGTATGGAGGTGATAATGAAAAGCACAAGATTCCTGCTGTTTCTACATCTCCAAACCTCAATGCCAATAAACTGAAGGAAAAGAAGTACTCATTAATAGCATAGCCTTCTTGCCAGAAATAATAATCCCTTTCAACTGGTTCTGTGGATAACTACAGCTTGCAACAGGCAGGTAGCGGTAGCAATCCTTTGGGAAGGGATCCTTGTCCCATCCAGTTGGTCAGAAAAGAAGCCACCAGTAGCCACTGATGAACACAGCTCAGAGGCAATGTTTATACAATAGGTGACTTATGAGCAGAGCAGGAGAGTTGCCCCTCCCAAATAGGGGTGTGGTTCATCCACAGCTCACTCCACAAGCTGCCCATAGTACACAGTTTAAAATAATTTGGCTGATGGCAAAGCTCAACATGTCTGAGCAGTTACCTATATTGAGTGTATGCTCTGATATCTACCACAAGGTAATTTGCTAACTGACATGTAAGAAGGAGCTCTCTAAATATAGGACATCTTACCACAACAACTTTGAAGTCTATATTTTACATTCTCACCCAGAAGCCACTGAAGCCAGGAAAGCAGAAGTGTTAGGAATCAAACAAGGCTGTGTGCATTTCACACACCAGCAACTGCACTGCACAAGGACACTAATTAGCACAAGAATTGCTAACATACCATCATGTGAAAAAGAAAGTACGCCCTCTTTGAATTCTACAGTTTTGCATATCAGGACATAATAAAAATCTTCCAGTCTTTAGCAGGTCTGAAAATTAGGCAAATACAACCACCGATGAACAACAACACACGACATATTATACCATGTCATTATTTATTTAACAAAAATTAAGTCAAAATGCATGTGAAACTAAGTACACTTTTATTGTTTCCATAGGAATTAAGGCTATTAGCAGTCAGGTGCTGCTAACCAAATATCTTTGAGTAATTACTCATCAGTAAGTGTGACCATCTCTATAAAAGTCAAAGTTTTAGCAGTTTGCTGCTCTGGAGTATTCAGGTGTGTGTTAACACAATGCCAAAGGGGAAATACATCAGCAATGATTGTAGAGAAGCAATTATTGCTGCCCATCAATCTGGGAAGGGTTAGAAGGCCATTTCTGGACAATTTAAAGACCAACATTCTGTAGCGAGAAAACTTATTCACAAGTGAAAAACATTCACGACAGTTGCCAAACTTCCCAGGAGTGGACTTCCAAGTAAAGTCAACCCCAAGTCAGAATATATGATGCTCAAAGAAATTGCAAAAAACCCAAGAGTTACATCTCAGACTCTACAGGCCTCAGTTAGCATGTTAAAATGTTAACATTCATGACGGTACAATTAGAAAAAAACTGAACAAGTATGGTTGGTTTAGAAGGGTTGCCAGGAGAAATCCTCTTCTCTCTTAAAAGAACATGGCAGCCAGGCTTAGATTTGCAAACTTGCATCTGGACAAACTACAAGACTTCTGGAACAAAGTTCTTTGGACAAATGAGACCAAAATGGAGATGTCTGGCCATAATGGACAGCATCAGTTTGGTGAAAACCAAACAGAGTATATCAGCACAAACAATTCATATCAACTATCAAGTACAGTGGTGGAACGATTTGGGCTTGTTTTGCAGCCACAGGATCTCAACGCTTTGCAGTCACTGAGTCACCATGAACTCCTCTGTACACCAAAGTATTCAAGAGTAAATGTGAAGCCATCTGAAGTTTAACTGAAATTGAGTTATGCAATGGGATAATGATCCCAAGCACACACGCAAATCTAGAACAGAATGGCTGAAAAAGAATCCAGGTGTTGCAATGGCCCAACAAAAGTCCAGACTTCAACCCAACTGAAATGCTGTGCTGGGACCTTAAGAGAGCCATGCATAAACAAATGCCTGCAAACCACAATGAACTAAAGCAACATTTAGAGTGGGCCAAAATTCCTCCACTATGATGTGAGAGAATGACAAAGTTAGACAGAAAATGATTACTTCAAGTTATTGCTACTAAAGACGGTTCTACAAGATACTGAATCATAATGTGTACTTAAGTTTTTCACACATGGATTCTCCATTTTGGGTTTATTTTATTAAATAAATAATGACATGGTGTAGCACATCATGTGTTGTTGTTCAACTGAGGCTGTATTCACCTAATTTTCAGACCTGCTAAGGACAGATTTTAATTATGTCCTGATATTCAAAACCATATAATTCAAAGGTATCTTTCCCCCCCACCACGACTGTATATTGCTGCAACAAGCTACTTCACAATGAAATAAATACTGATTATATCAGATGTCTGAAGATAGCATGTCCAAGGATCATAAAGCAGATGTGTCTTTGGTGTTCTGTGTCACTCTTACACCAAAGGAGCAAAACAAAAAAGTAATTCATACAAAATTAGCCAGAGAAAACATAGTAGCCATGATCCAAGGAATCACGGAATCAGTTTGAAGCACATGGTTAATTGTTTTTAATACTGAGGGGAGTAGCAAAAAGAGATAAAACTACAACACATAAATCAGATATTCAAAAGAAGCAAAAATTTATAGTGGACATGCAGAATTCAATTCTGCAGGAATCTGGAGTCTCACTTGATGTTTTGCTTGCACAATTTATTCATATTGCAGAATCTTAGTTAACATCAAGAATAAGCTACTAATTCTATTATTCTTACATAAAACAAGTGCTGTCTCCAAGTTCTCAAGGCCAGAGCTGCAGAACCTTTTTTTTTTATCCTACCAAGTTGAAATACATATGCCTTGCTAACAAGATGTCAGATGTATTAACTGCAAAGAAGGTGTGCTTTCAGACTGGAAAAAAGGAAGGCAAACAAGTCCTTACCAGAGAAAAGAGATCATTCTGCAATCCAAGCCTGTCCACAGGGGGTAAAGAGAGGTCCCGGATAGCTGGGAGTAAGTTCTCCAGCATGCTGGAACTGTACTGTGTACGATAAAACCCTACTGTTCCTAGGTTTAGCTGAAAATATAGAAGAATACAGTTAGCATCTCACAAAAACTAAAATACCTGTTGAGAAATAAAGATATGGCCCCAAGTTACCATTTTTTTGTTTTGTTGATCCAAATCTAGAGAACACGATTAGGCAGAGTTGTTTAATAACCTCAGTAATTATACTTCATGTAGCAATGTAAGGACAATGAGCATTAGAGGAGACACTGAGGTTCTTGTTTTATCAAATTTAATAATAAATAACTTTTCTTATTGGCAACAATAACAGGAGACGATGTACCTTCTACAGACTTCAACTCAAAAAGATTCTATGGTTGTTGTAGGTTTCTCTGGCTGTTTGGTCACATTCTGAAGGTTTTTCTTCCTAACATTTTGCCAGTCTCTGTGGCTGGCATCTTCAGAGGACAAGAGTTAGAACCTACAACAACCATTGGATCCCGGCCATGAAAGCCTTCAAGAATACATCAAAAAGATTCCTTTTTCAAAATCAATGCAGCTCAAAGGTTCTCAGAATTAAAAACATAATGCAATTCCCTCACATCCATCATTTTTTATTTTCCTTAAATTGAAGAAGGCAACATACGTGCTTAAGCAGCCTCACTGGTAACACATCTGTTTCATGACCGGCAACAATTAAGATACAGTGGGGTCTCTACTTAAGAACTTAATTCGTATTGGAAGGTGGTTCTCAAGTTGAAAAGTTCTTATGTTGAATCTGCATTTCCCATAGAAATGCATTGAAAACCATTTAATCCGTATCTGCACTTTTCCGTCCATAGAAACTACAGTGGAACCTCTACTTAAGAACTTAATCCGTTTTGGAATGGCGTTCTTAAGTTGAAACGTTCTTAAGTTGAAGCAAAATTTCCCATAGGAATGGACTGAAAACCAATTAATCCGCTCTGGCTGTTTTTTTGTTATGTAGAGGTGCGTTCGTACATTGAAGCATTAGTTCCCATAGGAACTAATGCAAAGCTGGTTAATACGTACTTTACCACTAGGGGGAGAATTTTTTTTTAACCTAAGATGACCTAAGGTTAAAAAAAGAGCAGGAAAGTTTTTTTTTCCTGTTCTTATCTTAGATTTCTGTTCTCAAGTAGAAGCAAAATTTAGCAAATGGAGCTGTTCTTAAGTTGGATTGTTCTTAAGGAGACGTTCTTAAGTAGAGACCCCACTGTAATAATTTTGTGTATCTTTCACTGTAACTTCTAATATTAACGACTACTCTTACCAGTAGGTAATAACTGATGCTAAAAGTTTCAATTACACCCAAATAAACCTGAGTGCTCACTCTCACTTCTTAAGTTCCCAGACTAAACAGTGTCAGAACACCTTCAGAGGAAAGAGGGAGCAGAAAATTAAGAAGAATGGACATCATCTAGCAGAAGAATAGCAAATTGACAATTCAGTACCAGGTTCTCAGACAGGACCATTGTAATATTTTTTAAAAATTGAGTAATAAAGTGAAGTGTCACAGCAAGTATAAATATAATCACACATCATAAATACACAGGTACGTGCTTGCAGTAGAAAACCATTCTCCGTATCCTGGTCAACAGGATGTACCAACTGGACCACCAGTTCAAATTCAACCCCATCATTACAGTTTCCAGCCAGCTTTTCACACAAGAGCAACTACCATATATTTACAATCAGCTTTCTGCCAAAATCACATTTGGCAGTGGATGAGACACTTTCCTATGGGAGACTTAAGCAGAATATGTACAAGTTAAGTCTGGCTGGCAGAATTCTTACTGGGAAATCTATACAGAAGCATTCACAGTCCTGTTGTCTGGGCTGTGACATGGCATAATATCAAAATAACAAGGGCATAATTTACAGGTAAAATCTCCAGTTCATGCTGGTCTCCTTTAGAGGGAACGAATATAAAAACAGATTGCTTTTTCCGACGAATATGACCGAATCATTAAATATTCATCGATTCGTATTTGTGGGTTCCAGAGACCCCCATGAATATGAAGGAATGAATATTTATGTTTTTATTTGTCCTTCATATTTTAAAAAAACGCAAAAAACCCCACACCATTCTGCCTACCGGCTGCCGATCAGCTGATCAGTGGCAGAAAGGCAGCCACCCCCCCCACAGCCACCCAATACC